GCTTAACTTCTCATGATTAGATTGGTGGCATCAACTAACTCACTCTTTGGTTACCTAGCAACAACCTGCAGAGTAATGTGCAAGGCAACAATTTCGGTTTTCGCCACCATGCCTCGTAACGGCTTAAAATGTACAATGGCATGGAAAACCGTGGCTAAAACAGGAAAGGTCACGCTACCAGTTTGGTAGTATTTCAGATATTTAAAACAAAAAATAATAAACAATCAATGATATTGACATTTAATCGATGCCAGCGGACGTTTTTCTCGTGGTACGTTTTTTCAGACACACGGTCTGGCCCTGTCCTTTGCGCTTCAGTTTTCACTCGGCTACACGTCAGGCGATCCTCACCATGACGGGGAAAATGATGGCGGCCACGGTGGACTTGAGGATCCAGAGCAGAGCCAAGCACAGGACCTGGATGAAGGTGAAGAGGTGGATGCGTCTCTGGGGGACGTGGCGCAGGTAGATGAGGTCCGGCTGGTGCTTGGCTGGCATGAGGAGCAGCTGCAGACGGTCCATGAACTGTCGGGATTTTCAGACAATAAGATGAAGAAAAGTGAAATGAAAAGAAATCAGTACTTCTGTTGTGGGGTTTTTTCCACAAAAGCGTTCAGAGAAAGGCTGGCGCCTGAGAACTGGTTCTTAACTGGTTTTACTGGAAGTAAAAAGCAACAGAGAACAAGCCTGTCGTTTTACAAAAGGAGGGCCAGCCCGTCACGAATCTCTGTTCAGCTGTTTGGTTTCAATTCTGGCAGGAATACCCAACTTTTGATCAGTGATTTAAACACTGATGGACCAGAATCTACACAAGAACAGGTGATACTGAAGGTACAACAGTATTTATATGCCAAGAATATACAATTAAGGTTTATAGTTACAGTTACTCATTCAATAGTTTGGCTCTCTTCAGGTTATGTACATTTGTTGCTATGACAATACCTAGTGCCTACCAATACTAATATTAACTCCTCTTTGCTGTTGCAACTACACTGAATGTAAATGGAAACCTTTTTGGAGGGCGGGGAAATGTATGAGACAGCCCAAAACAGAGTATTTGCATAACTGTGAAAAGAAAATGATTTGAGTTTTTGTAAATACTAACAATATTCTGAAAAGTGTGGATTTGTGCATTTGTGTTCAGCCCATCCTGGCACACAAATTTATTTTGTATTTAATTAAATGCACAGTTTCCTCCTTAGACAATTCATCTTTTTGTAACAAAAAGAAATGTTCACAATTATCCACTTCCTGATGGTTTGCTGCACAAAACGAGCAACTGTGAAGTTTATTATTGCGGCATCAAATGTGAGACGCACAGAGGGCTATGAAAAAGGCACTGTAAAGTATAAGCTAAGTACCAATGCTAGTTAGAGTGGAGCAACTCACCTGGACACCATTGAGAGACGCCACGCCCATATAGAGGAACACACCATAGAGAACAGGCTTCGGGATGAACTGCAGAAAACAAAGCAAAAACGATATCCGTTTTATACATGCAGATGAATGTAGTATCAGCAGCTAAAGTTAAATTATAAATAAGAAAATAGAATAGTTTTGTGTGTTAAAGCTCCAGCTAGTTTAAAGTAGCTCACAGATAACAGATTAGACAACAGTTTGAGGGAAAACTACTTTTCCACGCCTGGAAAATAAATGGCCACCAGGGGGCGCAGCAGCTCCAACAACAGCCTCCGCTCAGGTTCTTTCCCAGCTTAATGAGGGAATGGAAACTCTACACTCTTCTCCAACTGGAGCTTAAAGTCCTGATGAATTTCACATCGAATTAGTTCAGGTACGGGGGCTTCTAATCGGATGAGCGGAAGATTTTAAATGATTTTTAAAAAATAAAGACAAGTGACGAGAGCTCGTCCAAAAGGGACGGACTGTAATCCGCGTTTCCATGGAGGAATTAGGAGCTGGACGGAATACCTTCAGGATAGGAGCCATGAAGACGGAGAGTCCTGTCAGGAGGAACACAAAGATGCCAGTGACTCTTTGTTCCCTGGATGGAGGGGGGGGAAGAAATAGGAAAATCAGCGTCATTTGTAAAGCCTGAAAGTTTTCACATGCAAGGACTCTGACTTCTGAAGCTTTATGATGGGTTCTAAGCACATAAAAGGAGGTAAAAGTTAATTAAAAACGATGTTATGGAAATTTCTGTCGTCAGCTATAGAGATCGACGACGACGTCATGGAAACTGATCAGAACTTCTCACCAATACTTGAAAACACGTGAAAAAAAAGGGCCGTAAATATGATAGAAGAAATATATAAAAATGAAGCAACCACTCACCTGACGCCCAGGAACTTGGGCTGCTCTCCAGGGGCGGAGGTCTGGGTCTCCATTTTCAGAGAGTCGATGTGGGCGATGGAGATGACGGTAGCAGCTACATACCATGGCAACCCCATGAAGGAGCAGAGAATCATCAGGATGGCCACCCAGAACAGGTCCAGGTGATAACCGGCCCCTTTCTGAGCACGAACAGAGAAGACAACGGGTTTGATAGGGTTGTGATGGTTGCATCTACTGGAGTAGATGCAAGTTTTTACTATGATGTATTTTTTAATTTTACTTGAATAATGAAGGATCGCTACTGTTACTACAGAGATTTCTGGATACTCGGCCCACTACGAGGGACTTCGTTGAATTCAAAACAAGCTTATTTTAACCAAAGATTCACACACCTGCATTGTGTGTTTTATATTGAAAAAAAAATTTTTTGGGGGGAAAAAAATTGTTCTTTTGATGGACTTGGTTGTTTTGTAGTTATGTTATTTGTAGGAATTTTCATTTTGGTCTTTAAAATACCAACATTTCCACATAACTTTAGGTTTTGGTTTATCTAATGATGTCATTTGTTTTAAATATTAAGTGATCGAAGTTTTGATCAGTTACTCGGTACTCAAGTTGCCTTTTAACCAGACTTTTTTTTTTTTTTTTTTTAAATCCGAGGACTACTTTTTACTTTTACTTGAGTAAAAATGTGAAACGCCTGGCACTACTGACTAAATGAGTTGGCCTTTCACATAACTTAAGGAAAAAGCTTAAACAGCTGTGAATATTTTTGTGTTGTATTGTATATACTGTTAAGAAAATACATTTAAAATATGCTAGTTTTAAAACTTAACAACATGTCTTGATTGACATAGCCTAAATATAGTTTTTGGACTAATGTTTATGTTACCTGTAGCTATAGCAGATTGCCTGCTGAATCTTTTGATCTGCCCTTTTGTCTGTGTGGGAAAGAATCAGGAGAAGGTCCAGCTTTCACACTGATCTGCGATGAGCCATAAAACAACATGAGTTCAGGCCAATGGAGGAGAAGCTCCACTTCCACTTTGTTTAGATAAAGGGACAACTGATGTTCGATCTTGAAAACAAATTGTAGGGAGTTTCTAACTTTTAAGAGGGTCCGAGACGGCTCCTGGTTGGATGAGCAAAGATACGCCTTATTTGAATAAATTAAAGAGAAGAATACGTCTTTACCATAAAAGTTTGTGCACGTGAGGAACAAACCAGATTTGCTTTTGCAACTCTCCAAAGACGTCTTTGAAGTGTCTGTGTTGTTGATGTCATGTTACACTTTTAAATGTAAGAATAAACTCTGAAAATGTATGACGTGGAGCGTTGACTGTCATCTCTGTGTGGCTTTTGTTTCCACGAATGGAATCATTGAATCAGGGAGCACAAGAGACTATAATGAGCCAGAACTTAATGATTTTATTCTCTACACTACCCACCTTTGTGAATGAATGAAAACTAGCTTAAATTTAAAAAAAGAGTCATTTCTCCCCCATGTACTTAAACGCCTCATTTATTACTGAGCTCTTTGTCTTCACCATCTTTTTCTCAATGTAATTTAAAAGTGGTTATCATATACAGCTCCAGAATATTTCTTAAGTTGGTGGTTCAAAAATGAACCTTTTGTCACTGGAGTACTTTACAAGGTCAAAATGTTCAATTTTCCTTAAAAACAAAATGTGATTACTGATGTACGACAGACATAAAGATCTTCTTCGTACATTTAACAATGTTCAGGTGAACTGCCTACCTTTAGCTTGTGTTCTTTCCTGTTCACAATCACTGCAGTGATCTGCTGATCCATGAAGATCAGAATCGTGACCAAGAGGGCAGGAAGTGCAGCTGCCAGGTACACCCACCAGGGGTTTCCTCCAAAAGGAGGAATAAACCAGCCCCGTGCTGGACTTGTGGGCTGAATAAAGAAAAATAAAGGGGGAAAAAAGCATTAGTTGTAATGGTCAATACTTCTGCTGGACAATCCACATGCAAGAACATGGCTAACATCCGATGCATGAAATTAAGGTAGCAGGTACCCAAACTCTCCGTAGGTTTCGATTACTTGCGCATTAATACGGGCAAAGAAAGCCGTCTCTGTGCTCGCAACGAGAAGAGCGTCGGTTCTCACATCATCTGTAATCACCTTTTGCCCACTCCTCCACCGAAAGGGAGGCCTGCCAGCCAGCCGTCCAACATTTGAGCTCAGAAATTTCTAAGCATGCCTGTGTCTTAGTTTCAAGGTAATATGTGTCCAACTGAGCAAACTACAAAGAGCACATTGAGCAGGGGACTTTAAGGAATTAGGGAGGCTTTCTTGCAGAAACATGGATCATTAACGGTGTAATCTAAGGAAACAGCACTCTGCTCACCACAGCACCGGCCTTTGTCTAAGGTGGAGGGGGCGTCCAGCGTCCCGGGGGCCCGTGTGAGGCCCCCAAACTGACTTCAGTTCAAGAACGGCATGTTTGGCCAACCCACCACAGGTGTCGAATGTAAAAGGAGACTATTCCATTTTTAGTTGGGGCAAAATTATCAGATTTTCTCACAATAAAAAAAAATGTTGGCAATAAAACAATCACTGGTCTTTGAATGACCACGCTCTTTGCATTCTCTTGCAAGCAAGCACCACATCCATTCATTTTTACTCAAAAGCTGAGTTTGATGCATCCAAATCTGCTTCTAATTAATGTATTTAACATGGATTAAAACAGCAAGAGTTTTCAAATAAACTGCATATTGATTTTATGGCTCAGAAATGACTAAAGGTTATAGTTTTTCCAGTTGATACCTAGACAATTTGCAAAACAACTTTTTTCGTAGCAATAATAATATGCACACCCCTTCCCAACAACAAATCTGACTACTTTATTTGTTTAACTAAAAAAAATCACATGCTTAGTTTATTGTTGAGTTGATAAGAATATTTTTTGGCCTTCAAGTCGTTTTGAGTCGACGATTTTGGCCCGTGTGTCAAAATGTTTGGACAACCCTGGTCTAAAGCATATCCAGCACCAAGGTGTCAAGCCCACATTGAAAACCATGCATCTATGTGTATATGAAATGTGTAGCGATTACCTTAAATTCACTAGGCACTATGAGCTTCGGAGTGTCCACACCGACCAAGGCGTCAATGCCACAGAAGAGAAGAATGGTCAAGATGATGGCAAAGTCACTGATGAGCTTCCTCACCTGGACAGGGGACATCACTGAAGGTTAGAGAGTTTATTTTAAGGGGAAAAAAATAGCTGAAAATGTTCCACCTATTACTAATCAAAGATAACTCTAAACCACTGGGTTTTGGTCTCGATTTAAAAAAAGAACTAGGTGTTTTGGCATCTTTGCAGTTTTCTGAAAGTTTGTTGTGGATTTGTGGTGCATAAAAGCTGAATGCTGCTTCTCCATGTTTGCTTCTGGGGATGCAGCGTAGACAAAAGACAAACACACGGATAAGTTTCTAGATCTTGCTTGGACTTTCGTCCTTTGATCCTAGAAATGTTCTTCAGGTGATAGAAGGCCGACTTTGTAACTGTCTTTATGCGTCTCTGAAGGTTCAGAGACACCCCGATTTTGGGCCTGGTGTTGTACAATCAAAAATGTCAGAAGCACAGCTTCCAGTGGTATAGCACCCCCTAGAGTCGATAGTCTGCAGAGCCTTTAGCTGCCAATACAGCTGAAATTCTTCTGTATCTCTACCAGTTTGCAGAATTACAGACCGAAAGCTTTGCCCGTTCTTTAGCTCAGTCAAAGATGAGCTATTGTTCATCACTCACTGTTGTGGGGAAGAATCTACTCGTCTTGAACTTCTTCAGAGCCATGGAGCAGGTGTAGGTCCCAAGGAACAGGATGAAGGACATCAGGGTAATGTCAGGTACATAGTCACAGGCCTTTCCGACCAGCAGCCCTCCGAACTCCTTACACTGATGCTGGGTCAGGGACGCCCAGGTGGCGTTCTCCTGCTGGAGAGGCCGGGAGTAAACAAAGAGTTGGGTGAGAAAAAGTTTGAAAAACCGATCCCTGAATCCAGGCTGTTAACACCGTTCAATTTTGTGTTTTTAGAGGACAAGGACACCACATACCAGATCGGTACGGTTTGTCCAGGCAGAAGTATCAAGGAGTGTTGATGAATTACCTAGAAGGAAAAAAAAAAGAAAAAAAAGAAAAAAGGAACAATGATATCTAATCAGTGAAGCGGGAATGCTTTTGATGTCGGCTGAATCGCTCTTTGTCAGTTTAAATCTGTTGTAGAGGATGGGAAAGTCAGCAGGGGTGTCATTTGTTATTTCCAACGCAGACGTGTAAATAACACACAAGTGCCGACACCATGACAAATTCAGCAACATCAATCAGCACCACGGTGACCGGGTTTGGACTGTCAAGCTGCGGGATACGCACCCGCTACGCAGCGGCAGTCGTACTGAGTGATGAGGTTGTGATCAAACTCCGAGTTGATGGGGTTGTGGTGGGCCAGCTTTATCATCTTCTTGAATGCGTCATAGATGAAGATGAAGCTGATAAGCGCAGAGAAGCCTTCCTCTGTGAAGCGTGTGAAGTACTGCACCAGGAAGCTTGCATCGGTGGCAACCAGCACCAAGCAGAACAAACCAGACCACAGGCCGATCCACAGCCGAAACTCGAGGTAGTCGAAACCATTGTCTCTGAGTGCGGATGAGGGGGGGGGAGACAAAAAACAAAGTAGTTTCAGTGAAAGTGGCAACTTAAAGAGACCGCTACGCCTCTGAGAATTCAGATTTTTAACACAAACTCAGTAAACTAAAGCTCTTGTGATACAACATTCTTTTTAAGCAAACTCCACGCAGCATTAGCTGCAGCAGACAAGCTAATGTTAGCTGACTAACAAGCTAGTGTTAGCTTCTTGGGCTTGGGTTACAACTTTAGAAGTTTTGAAATAATCTCCAACCTTCCTCAATGTCCTGCTTTTGACAGACGCAATTTTATTAATAAGATCTATTCTATTACTAAGATCTATTCTATTAATAACATCTATTCTATTAATAACATCTATTTCCAAGTCAAAGATTTTAGATGCACCTGTTGTAGCTGATGTCATATTATTTAAGCAGCAGTAGAAATAACTGCTACTTTTCTGTTTTAAATAAAAGTAATTAACATTTTTGCTAACTATATTTGTGTAAATACCTTCATGGTTAAGTACCATGTTATTATGATAATGTCGTGCCAGGCCCATGACAGCTCTTCGATGGAGAAAGCAAAACCCTAAATTAAAGGGCTCCACATGCAACTGCACCACACGCTTTTATCTATTTAGCATCTGTGGCGCAGGGCAAGAAACGCTTGTGTGCAGCCTAGCAGCTGCTACCAACGCTGGAACCGCTTGCAGGGCACAGACACCCACAACATTCTCCACTCACAGCACAAAAATAAATGAGAGTGAATTATTGATAACGGAACAGAGTCAGCATGTTGTCTGGTAATGCTAGAAGACCGACTGAGGGGCTTAAAGCAGAGCCAAGAGAGACACGTCGGCATTGCACAGCCTTTGGTGATTGTGAAATGATTCTGTACGTACAATTTTTTATCATCGCGTGAGGAAAGATCACTCATCGTAATAACGCTGCTGAGTTCAGCGTTATTACAGGAACCAGTGTTTATTTATGTTTTTTTGTTGTTTTTTTGCAGTGTGCCCAACATCGTGTTCTAAATAAGAAGGTTTAACGCTGTTCTTGTCTAATCAATCAGAACAGGAAGCTAACAGTCAAACCGTTCTGCAAACAATCTATAAGTGCCAAGAGATTTACAGCAGGAACTATCGGCCCACTTGCAGCAATCTAAAAAAAAAAAAAAAAGAAAGAAACATCCGTGCTCTACGTGTTGATAGTTTCATATACCATAGAGCTGCTGCTCTGGATTCTCAATGCAATTTCCCTCTTGTCTTTATTCCTAACATCATGTTTGCATGATGACTATCCAGTTAAAGGAGAAATCCTGTGACTGACTAGGGTTCACTGGGAGGTACTCACTTGCTGAAATTGAAGAGAAGTCTTTCGAACACAAGCACCGGGCCTGTACTACTGAGGATAGTCAGGGGCTGACCTGCTAGCAGGCAGAACACTGCTCCTGACAGCGCCGTACCGAGGAAACTTTCCAACACTCCCTGCGGCGCACATCAAAAACAAGTTAAGGTTGTTTTCACCGAGGTGACAGAGAGAAGAATTGAAGCAAATTATGACTATAAATGTACCAGAAACACATTTTATCACAAGTATTGTACAGCTTTACCGTCACAAGTCGACGCTAAATTTGTTCTTATGCAGATGACACTTTAGTTTTTCTTGGAGATAGCATAAATTGGGGTGGGCCCATTAAATGTTTATTCGTTTACAACATAATGTTGAGAAGAACAATGAACAGCAGTCATTGCTCTGAAGCAATGACTAAGAAAGGCTATCCCAGGGCAGGGATTCCCTCTTTACCCACATTATAAAACAGGATTGCGTTAGAGTGATGAAGTCCAGGATTGAAGGTGGGGGGTTCATTTAACACCCATGCTGTGGCTACAATGGCTGAGTAATCTGGATCTGTGGTTATTTACAGCTCTGGCAAATCCCCCGCACACGGCCGATGCTCTCTGCATGTGTCCGTCACAGCAGAGGCCAACGCAAGTACGGCTCCCGCCAGACAGGCCGTCACCTAACAGGTGCATGTGGATGACAGCGGCCGACCCTGCGTGGTATTATAGATAAGTTAGAAATTCCTGAAAGGAATCCGCAGTTTGGTTCAGCAAATGGATTTACTTTGAGCTTCTAAGCCTTAAATTAGCATGGCTTAGCAGCTGAAGAGACAAAATTGGTTTAACATGAGCAGCGATGACGGAACGATGAGCTCAGCTGACGGCCGATGCCAAGTCAGCGTCCATTGACTCTGCGTCAAAACTTGGGATTGTTTAAATGACTTAAAGTTAACAGGTAACATCCGGCCACCCAGGTACTGCACTTTATACATCGTCCTCATGTCCTCCCCGCTTCCTTAATCAAACGAAGGCATTTTGACGAGTAAGGCTACCTGCATGTTGTCTGTAGCGTCTCCGAGCAAGCCTCCGAACGTGATTGCGTTGGTGACCGTGCCCAGATAGATGAACAGGATGGCAGACAGAGACTGAATGTGGAGGGCGTCGTAAAAGTCGCTGGCGAAAAACGGCAGCTTTCGCTTCACGTCCAGGATAAGACCGCCGCAAAACCTTAAAAAGACAGAGAGAGCCGTTGGAGTTTTTCAGCTTCACATGACAGCTCAGTTTGATCAAAGACATTGGAGGTCCACAAGGTGTGATAAAGATTGGCCTGGATACGTTTCTGTCACCGTTTCATAAGACGGGGAATGTTCTGAACAAAAGAAACACAATAAGGTTATTCAGCTGTGAAGTGCGTCCATTGTTCTGTAGTTCCTTGTTCCTGACTGAAAAGTTTACTGGAGAACAAAGGCTGAAAGACTTTCATTTGACACCAGACATGTGTCATCCTGACAGCAATTGGAGACAATCAGGATTATAAAAAATGATGCTAATACACTCATCTGTCAAAAACTTTCCACAAGAAAATTCAAAAACATACCATGCTTCTTTTTTTTTTAAGGTATCAGCTCCTGTCGTTCTCATTTGAACTTGTCTCGCCACTTATAATGATTTCACAATGGTATGAAAAATTCGAATTACTTTTTTGTGCACTGCAGCTCCTCTCCCACTTGGTGCCCTCCTCCTCCTCCTCCGCCTCCGTGTCCCGTATCGTGGGGGGTGTCCCCGTTCATCTGAGGAGCCTCTCCTCCGGCGTACATGTTCTTTCTTTAAAAGCACACAAAAAAAATTTATTGTCTTCAGATTAAAGAAGAAAAAAAAAGAGCCTACGATTCAATAAATGTTTAGCGTAAAGATGCGTAGCAAAAATAAATTTGTCTTTTGTTGTGTGGCAAAGTCTCACAACCAGCACTTAGAAAAACACGACCAGCACTTATTAAAGAAACTCTCTTCTTCACTTCTGGCAGACATATTTTTTTTACTTTGAAGCAGTGATCCATTTTGTGGAAACACAACAGATTTTATGAATATTACTCAAGATCCTAAGGCATTCACGTCAAAATAGATTGCTTCACTTTTGATATTTAATTAAATGTTCTGCTCTCAGAGGATCACACGCCCACATGGTCTTATTTGGTTTTGTTTGATGTGAGGCCTCTGACGGGAACGTATGCATTACGCAACATGTCAAACAGCTGAGTCGGTTTGTTTACTTTAAAGGCTTCGTCCAAATGTTTCCATTCGCTAATGTAAAATCTGAAAATACAAAGTTAGGCGTCCAAAACTAAAACAAAAGGTGTCACGTGGCGGCTAATCAAATGAATGGCAGCTTCTTTAATTTGGAATATAATGCGGATCAGATCAGACCTTTTGTCTGAGGAGGGAAGGGACTTGGGCGGCTCGATTCTGATGTCGGGGTCCCACTCGCCAGGAGGAAGGACGATCACTTCGTCCAGGAACTCATCGATTCCAGCCAGCAGGTCCTTCCTGCCTTTCGCTTTGTAGGCGATGTCGTGAAACACCTTCGATTGAAACAAAAACCGACCGATTACCATTTAAGAAATGAACGTGTGCTTTTCTTTTTTCTTTTTGCAATCCAGTGCCTGGAAACAGAAACAAACAGAAAAAATAAATAAACAAATAAAATCTGCAACTTCAACAACTGAGTGGAAAAAAAGTATTTCCTAATAGCTTTGTTTTCCCTGAGCGAAGGGTACAGCACGTCACTGACTGTAATTTATGGCACCTAAAAATCACCGCTATGCAGATGTTTCCCAATGCGCACACACATACGGGTTTACGCCACCACCGAGCCTCCCAGTGTGTATAGTACTACCACTAAACAACACGTCAGGCAGCGAGTCAAAAATACTTCAAACGTCTGATAAACCTGCGACACCACCGTTCTGGTGGGAGCTGAGGGGGTAAAGTTTAACTTGAGGAAACCCAGAGCAAACTCTTCCTAAAACTACTATATCAACAGAGAGCATGTGAACGGGAGAGCTGAGGCCTGTGGGAAAAATGCAGGCCACGTGCTCCCAGTATTAAAAATGCTGAAGGCGTCGATCTTTCTGACAAATACTGTGGCAGGTGTACGAAAGACACCAAGCAGGAAGATTGAAGAAATGCTTTATTCCAATCGTTTTGCTTATAATTTCAGCTAGAAGTTGGCCGACAGCAGGACTGTTTCCTTATTGGTAGAAAACGAGCTACGTGGCCAATTTTATAAAATCACAACCTGTTTGTTCCTTTGCACTGCTTGCCAGGGTGCCAGATAGTCTAACCGCATCATTTTACTGATCCAACAAATCTGAGTTTTCCAAAACAAACCTAGTGTTCGGCCTTTACAATAACGTTAACGGGGCAGAGAGATGCTTTACTGGCTGCTGTGGCTTTCTGCCTTTCCGTGGTTCGTCACGTGCTCCATGTTCAGAAGGTTGCACAGAAAGCAGCGGAAACTCTGGTCGTTAAAGTTTAAGACGTACGAAGCGAAAATAAGGTAAACTTTACGAAGCAAGAAACCAACTTTTTAAACCGTTTTCCACAAACGATCACCTGGAACTGCTTTAAAATACGAGACGACAATCAAAGCGTGACACTATAAAACAACCGTTAGCCTAGCATGGAAACATCTGCGGCAGGAGCAAGAGGGGAATTTATTAATGACAGCAGACTGTACAGATTATGAACATTATTGGTGAATCAGTTAAATTTGACACCAGGAGAAAACTAATACAAACCAGGTGGTGAAATGGAGCATGTAGCAAACACTGATTTTTATTTTACCTTTGGCGTATTACTAAACTGGGTCTTAGTATTTACCAAATGTCTATTCTTAAATGACTAAATTAGTATTGGCAGACAAGAAATATCTTGATCTGGACATCTCTTCCATAGTTTTTAAGAAAAAACATATTCTCAATATCGACTTACCTCATCGGACATCAGGGTAGCGATTGCTCTTCCGATCTCTCGGTAAGACTTGGACTTTCCTTTAGGTCCCAACAGTACAAACATAAATCTAGGTACGACATGAAAGTATTCATTTAGTTTTGTTTTGTTTAATTCATGTTTCCGTGCGACATCAGTAGGTCACGGGAGGATTTTTACAGCAGAGTACCTCGTGGGCACGGGGACTTCAGTAAGCGCTCCCAGCATAACGGCCTGCTGCAGACGGACAAAAGCAACAAACGGGGTTTCCAGGAAGTCCACCTCTCCGACCAGCACGTTTGATGCCTCGGCATCGCGGGGCAACTTTTTCATGAACTTATTCTTCAGCTGTGGAACAAATCAGAGAGAGAGAAGACAGAGTGAATGTGTGAGGCAGTGGAATAACATAGAATACCCTCAGGATCAATACTTAGCTTGCAAGATGGTTTATGAAGCACATAGGATTCATCCAATATCCATTTTAAGATTATGAAAACATGCCGACAAGACAAAGAAAGTAGTGTTGCTTTTATTGCCTTTAAGCATGTAGAACAGCGGTGGTGTCTGCCCTTTACTTGAATTATGTGGCAAAACGCATCTGGACTTTATGCCATCCAATAAACAAAGCTGACAAGCACGTATATCCAAAGTCTACACTAGTCTTACTTTGTAGTTGACAAGGGGACAAATACACATGTTATCCTATTTGTTACAATCCTAAAAACACCCATAGATTGCAGCACATTAAAGACATGGTGCAAAGTCTCGTCTTGCCTCGAACTCGTAGTTGAAGGCACTCATTCTGACTTTTACTTTGACAAAAAAAGAACCCGCGTGAAAAGTACCGCCAACTGCACCCAGGAGTTACACCAGTTCATCGAGGTAGGGCAATGCACTCCAGGACAACAACCCTCTACTGCCTCCCCAATCAGGAAACTGTGCGAAATGAGCAAAACGTGGTGCAATTGTGTTGCAAGCAAAATGCTTAGAATCATCAATAAGCAATGGAGTTGTTCTGTAAAACAAATATCTGTATCTTAGCACACTAAGGGTTCAACTGTTTGACTTTGGTTTCAAGTGTAAAAAATAAAATAAGAGCATAAAACAATCTGTATGTGTGTGTGTGCACTAGCATCAGATGGTTGAGAGGTTTTGGTTAATTAGGCAGTGTTGTGATAGAAACGCTTTGCCGCTGTCCGCTTCCCACATCCAAGGAATCATGTGCCTGCTGCTCTTTATTCAGGTCAAATTTTTTTAAGCTGAGGCCATCAAATGACTAATAAGAAGTAAACAATAGTATTACATCAAATCGGTGAATAAATTAGACGACAGTTAAAGAGCTAAAATAAGGATAAATAAAAAAGGACGTAGTTAAGGCCAAAATGGTTGAGCACATCCAAAGAGTTATTAAAAGTTGTTACATTTTAACCGGATCTGCCCTGCTTTTATCTCCTGCTGTGGATCCGTCACCGTCACTATGATAACAACTTACAGAGAGCTACTCCGTCCTGAACCATGGCGGTGGCAGAAATAGTCAATCTGAATCTTCAAAATAGGAAACACTAGAGAACATAATATTCATGCAATTCATTCGCATGTTTATCGACACGGCAACACACAAAGAAGAGTCACTCGACTCAATTTACCCATATTTACAGCCAGAGGAATATTTAATTGGAAAAAAATCAAGAATTGTGTTTATATTTCAACTATACACCCTGAGGAGGACGGAAAGAGAGAATTAAATAAAAAGTCTGGAGAGGTAACTGTTGGTGCAACCGCCTGGTTATGGTAAAAATCTATACATGTGGATGTGGATGGTGCTTTCACATTACCTGATCCTTTTCTGGTTTATCAGAGAAATCGCTCAGGCTGTTGGAGGTGAGGTTCCGGTGGGTCGTGGTAGGGCTACCTGCAGATAGACCGTATACATATATGCATTGTTTGAATCAAAAAGACAGGATGACGCAGTGAATTAGACATTTTCTGCCTTACGGGAGGTGAGCAAGAGTAAAGAAAAGCATGAGTCGGGCATACAGAAGGAGCCAGAAATATCAGCTAAATGTGGCAAGGCTTAAGCTTAACAAGTAATGCCAGATGGCCGTTCAGTCAGCGAGGAGAGCTGGGCTGTGTGGTCATCTCAGGGCTGCTGCTTGTAGGCGTCAGCAGACACATGCTGCTTAAGCAACTATTGGCAAATAGAGAGAGAGTGTAAACTTTGGAATTTTACTCCTTCGCCGTTATTGGCAGAAAACAGAGACGATAACGATCTCTGTTGCCCAACAAATATTCTAGTACATTCTAGTAAGAGTGCGTCCACATTCGAGTCAGTCTACGCGTCTAAATGTAAATGTCAGTGAGGCTCTGCTCTGTCCCGTGTTTTCACTCATGTGCTGCTTCTCAGCTGGCGGGCTGTGACCTCACTTACAGAGGTATCCCATGCTGGCGCTCCTCATGACCTCGCATGACTCCGTCGCGTCTTGTGGTATTAAACAAGGCACAGAGTGATCGAAGGAGGAGCGCGGTGCTGTCCCCACCCCGGACGCAGGAAGACAGCACAGACCCCGGGAAGATCAAGAGAGAGGGGAAGAAAGGCAGGAAAAAAGGGAAAGAAGAAAGAGTTTGGAAGGGCGGGGAAGAAGAAAAGAAGGAAAAGAGATTGGATCAGAAAACTATTAGTGTAGAAAAGGTGGTTAGTGTTTGGAGAAACTTGGCTATAAATGGAAGAAATGCTGAAATTGACAACAACTAAAATCCAGGAAAATCGGTATTACCATTTTCCTGATTTGAAAACAGCCGGCTTGCGCTGGAAACGCTCTTGCCGATGTCGGCAAGAGAGCGCAGGTTGGACTTCTTGGTCTGGTGGCGATGCTTTCGTAACAGCGTGTACACCACCTTCTCCTTTAGGTCTGCCTTCAGCTGACCGGTCTCAATCTGGCTGTCGGTGATCATCTCTGTAAAATGGAGACGTGAAGGATTAGGACAGCGACGTCCGCAAAACAGTGGATTTTTTTTGTGCGTCGACTCCACCGACCGACAACTTGTGGCAGTGTGGACGCCTCCATGTCTAGCAGGATTGTCCCCTTCTCGATGTACGCTTTGAGCTCCATCAAGCTGTGTAAGGACAGCGTGGCGACATGAGGCTTGCTCCAACGCTCTCCACCTTTCTCCACCTTCTCCTCAAACTTAATCCACCTAGATGAAGCACGATGAAGACAAAGAGGCAAGGGACAATGTCAAGAGTTGCTTGGACAACACCCAAAAAGGCACAGAGCGTGTTTGTCTTTGCTACAGCTCCTGTTTTTGAATTGGTCACACTCCAAATGGTAAACAAAAGCCTGCAGGTAAAAACTTAAATCAGTGGCTGTAAAAAAAAAAAGGAGAAAGGTACCAGAGGGATGAAGCCAGTGTTCGGTGGTGCTCAGACCACACACACTGATCATTTGGTGAAACGAGACTTCGTTGGCACCTTGGCTAAGCTTGTCCTCAGGGTACAACCCCGGGACAAGGATTCTTTTTTTAATAATAACGCATCACATGTCACTGGTACAAAGAACTATTCACATGAGGCCAGAGGATGGGGTTTCCTCTCGGGATAGAGTATCCCTTTGGCCGTCGTCCACATGTCTGCGACCTGCCGTCTTGCCTAAAGAGGAGACACCATTCACTTGTAGGAGTTCATCTGCAGACACTCCCATTTGACCCTTGCTTCCTTAAATAGGAACGAATTTTAACTTGTAAGGAGCATCTGTTATCACCTTGGAAATTTCTCCGGCCTTGTAACATTGACTACGTGCGTCAACGTTACAGAAACACGCTTTTCTTTAGAAATAGCTCGAACTGATGCCTGTATCTCATTGAAAAACAAGCCGTGGAAACGTAGTTACAGAGTTTAAAGGTTGGGCCTGTGCCAAAGTAAATCCTGTTGGGATCATGTGGGAGTTTGAGCCCTTTCCTGGTCTCACAGGGCAGGTAGCGCAAAACGCGATCAGATAAGAACATACTGGGAGTTCACTGGAGTGCAACCTATTTCCTTACACCATCATAAAACATGTTGGGATTGTGTTCCACATTCAGGACTGTGAAGCAGGAAATTTCTCCCAACTCTGCCCATTGAAGAGCAGTGAGGAGTTGGGCCGAGGGGCCGGCAGCCGAGTGGCTCACCTGGCCGTTTCTTTCCATTCCAGCTCCTGGCCGTCCACGGACAGGAGCTCGTCCAGCTCTGTGAAGAGCTGCGGGGGCGGCGGGCCGTCATCCTCCTCTCCCAGAATGAACCGAATCCTCTCAGCTGGAGAAACTACACAGGGAAGAGTTGCGAGGTTAGGACTCTCAAAATCAAGTAAAGCATGTTTCGTACCTGCGCTGTCTTGCAAAACAAAGCTTGAATTGAGGAATGTCGTCACACACATGTTGAATGTGTTAAAAAATAATAGTTTGAAAAATCAGGTTTTGTTAATTGCTGTGGGACAATTTTATCTGAAGTTGGCAAAACAAAAACAACATGTTAGTCCCAAACGTCTGCATTCAAAGAGTAAAGGACCATGCTAAGATATGAAGATGGTACAATGCTATGTTGGCCACTGGGTTAGTGAGCTATAAACTGTAAGAAGTGCAAATAAAGAGTTAATTCGTGCAACTTTCAAAACATTTCACAAGTGCATATTAAATCTGAATTCAAAGGTATCATTACATGTGGAGATTGGTTATTTTACAGTAGCCAATTTGTCCTTTACTCTCAGGGTGAAAAATCTAAAAAGAAAAGTTTTTTTTCTTTTATAAAAGAGTTATTAAAATCTAATTGTCTGTTATGTCACAAAACCTAAGTGACAATATCTAGATATCTTCTTCCATACACAGAAATGCTTGAAATACCAAGATATTGGATGACAACACGCGTCACAGAGGAAACGTTCAACAGGTTACAGTAAGGCAGAACGGAGCACAGAAAAGTTTCTCTATTTCAATCCTTCCCTTTAAATCTCACATTTCAGGAAGGATCTTTAGCCTCAGAGTGAGAATACACACAGACAGTTGTTTTAGAAACGCTAGCTGAGCTAATTGCTACTATAGACATGATAACTGCTTTCTCGGCAGTGTGAGATTCATTGGGTCTCATACTAACAAAGGTAACAATTAAAGATGTTTTACAGCAGGAAGGCTCAGAAGCATTTTTAAACATTGATTTTATAGTTCTTAAAATGAAATTGGAATTAGCTGAAATGTTCATCAACAAACGAGAACTTGACAAAAACGTACAGGTTGGATATTGTTCATCATTTTCTTTTTCCCAGGAAGGAAAACCTAAGTTGCATGTCACACAAAACCTGCAGTTTCCTACATTTACTCATTATGTGGTATAACAGAGTTTTTATTAAAAAAACAAAAAAAAACATTGTGCCACCTTAAAACCTTGGCAAAAGAAACAAAGGTTTAATCAAGAACTGAAAGGGTTGGCATATTCATACTGTAAAAGATTAAAAGAACAAGCAAATGCAAAAATTAAAAAACCCCAAAAAAAAAAAAAAAAAAAAAAAGGATAAGCAAGTTGCCATACACTTGAATATTATGTTGAAGTGTTTATAAAAAATATAGAAAAAACTGGATCTGCATAGCTTTGTATGGGAAAAGACATTTATGGTGAAAAAATACTTTCGACAGACAAACCAAACCGATCAATTCATCTTCTGATCATTTCTGCACAAGAGAAACCTCTAACCATGAACCACGGCAGTGGAAACATTACAATTTGAGATTTCTTTAATACCCCAGGTACTTAGCACCTGGTTGTTAAGTACTAAAAATATAGCCTCATGCAGCAGGACTGTTCAGGGGAAAGCGTTTGTTCCCCTGAACAAACGCTTAATGCTTAATGCTTGCACTGGAGGTGAAGCATTAAGTCATATACTCCTCCCAAAGCACAATTGCAAATCCAACAAGGAATGTCTCGAAAGGAAGAAACGGCGAGCCATGGAATGCTAAAGTCAAAGGGCAGGTTTGAATCTGGCCTTTGACTTGGGCGGTGGGGGTGGGGCGTTCTAGACGGGTGGTACGTGCATCGTACAGCTGCAGGAATTCTGCACGAGTTAAGTGTTCAGAAATTTCACCGGGGTGATGTCATAGCTCCTACAAACCAAACACCAGCTCCTGAGGCCTTTGGGGGGTACCAGCACATGTAAGGAACACCCTAGGAAATGCAACGATACTGGTTGAGTATTTCTGGAAAAAGGAAACCCTGTCTCACTCTCATCGTTACAATGTAATGTTCTGGTTATCTACAAGAGAGGCTAGATACACACTCTGTATCCGGAGTTTGGTATGAAAAGAGCCATTGATGCTTGATGGGAAAACTCTGGCAGCACACCCATAGGAGGAAAACGTTCCCCTTCCCTTCTGAGAAAAGTGAAATCTTAAACAGGAAATCATCAAGTTTAGTGGCATGCATTAGCATTTATTTATCTTCTTGCTCTTCTTTGAATTAAGCTCAGGCATACTCTAAAACCAATAATTCCCTTTGTCTTGCATCCTACATACAGAGAGTTTTCCATTGTATAATAGGAAATAACTCATGTTAACACTACCAGGAAAGTTGTGCAACCGTGTTAAGTAGCAAGGCATAGGAGTCTATTTTTAAAGCTCTTTTTGTACACAGTACAAGTCAGCAGTCTACTTTGACGACGTACCATGGCTTGTAACCTTCTAATCCTGAAATAGCGCTCCGTCACCTTAATTTAGGACAGTCGTTTTTAAACTCGTACAATCTAACATTAAGCTACAGTAAGGTCAAGATAAGTGCAAGGGAGATTGACTTATAGGGTATTACCCCTGTGTGAAACATCTCGATCTGACCAAAGACGTCCCTGGGACATCTCCAGCGTCAGGACTGCTCGCCACCTCACGGGGCACCAAATCACCAAGCACGTCTCAGGTCGCCCACAACCGGTGCTCAGCGAAAGCCAGACCTTTAGTTGTGGTTGGAAACAGCTTACAAGTGGTGGGATGAATCAACAGGATTACAGGGATTTAGATAAAGGTCAAAACAGCAGGAAATCTATGAAGTGGAAGGCGGCTGTGTATGCACTGTCTGCAAGTGTTTGTGTTTTCAGTCGGGACTGCGTGTTCGGCACGAAATGCTACCCACATATCTAATCCGATGGTGCCTCACTCTAACACATCCTGCATAAGTCATCTGAGAGCAATGGTCCAATCTGTATTTATTACAGCCAGTTTCTGATTATTTCTCCTGAGAAAGTGGAAGAGGCGTAGCTTACGTACGGCATGACAGGACAGGGCAAAACAGCCAAAGCCAACATCAAATATTTTCCATGGGGTCACCAGGGTTGCTCACGGCTCCACAGTGGAAAAATGTTTAATCCGGCAGTGGCTCTTCATACACACGAGCCCGTCCTCTCACTCAACCTTACGAGACTGTTTACGCTTCCTACCGAGATACACTCCAACAAGAAGGTGGGAGTCTGCGAATGGATGAGTGTGTTTGGGAGGAATTTAATGTTCCGTTGCAGTCGCTCTTCGCTGCTCACGTTTGGTTGCACTTGTTTCTCGCTGCCTGCTGTTTTACAGCCCAACACCGAGTCGATGAATGAACAACCAGCGTTAGTCTGGGCTTTCTGTTGCAATTACCAACGTGGAAAAAGCAGGAGGGTTCATCATGTTTTATTTTGTATTTAATCTGTGTATTACCTAATAACTATATAATTAACTAGGCCTCTATAAGTGGACTGAACTGATTCTAAGGTAACAAGAAACCATTTAGATTCATAGTGTTATTTACTGAGTTATACAGAGCAGCTGTAAAGGCCTTATAAGCTTAATTGCTAAATGAAATAGCTTCCCACAGACTTACGTTTTTGTCCATGACCAAACTTAATTTTAAAGATTTAAACTACATTCAGACATTACACACTCATTTTGTCGGCTCAGACGTAGACCCTTTTTGGCAACACTGGTAAAGATGTACAAAAAAAATGAATGAATAAATAAATAATGCCTTAAAATAAAATATTTTCTTGTTGCCCTACCAAAATTACTATAACATAATACATTCTATGATATAGTTGCTCTTTAGAAATATTAGCTCCCAAAAATTATTTTGAAAACAATTTCTCTAAGTTCTAATTAACTTTCCGTCAGTCAGAATAAAGTTATAAAGCATTACTTCCTGTTATGCTGGGTTTTTTTAATTAAATGACTACAACAATTTGCCCATATCTACATCAGTAATTCAGAAAATATATTCTGATTATCCTTGCATATCAAAACAAATGGGGTTTTATTGTAAATAACCTTTAAGCAGGTATTAAACATACTTTCTCATTAAGATGATGTAATATTCAAATCTAAAATGACTAAGTGGCCATAAGTGGAAAATCATTCTTATTGACAGAAAAAAAAGGCTAAAACAACAAAACAAGTTACCTGATCACATTTAGTTACTGAAATAAATGAACTTTTTAATAATGTTCTAATTTATTGAACGGTTCAACTATCACAAATGTGCAGAGTTTGCTGAACAGTACAGAGACTTTAACTGAAGCCGTATGTTTTGGTTCGATCAGCATAAGATTAAAGATTTTGGGAAAAAAAAAAAAAAAACTCCAGGTGGATCTCTAAAGCAGTGGTGTTCACACTCTTTGTCTAGAAGTCCAAAATCGGCCAAAAATGATAACTTTTCATTAAACGAGCAAAAAAATGGAAAAAAATTAAATGTGTTTTTGTTATATTTCCATGCACTTTTACTAAAATGTTAAAATTAAGGGGTTTTTAAGGGCGCTCATGGCAGTCAGGGGCGCATTCTCCGGCTCATGTGTTAAAATTCAAATGATTTTCAGAGTAATTAAATTGGGCTTGAGACATGAAGATAAGGAGATTAATGAAACCAAGCCACTTATCATATCAAGGTATCTTCGGATGACTAAGCACACAGGCTGCATGACACCAGACCGTGAGGAGCAACAATGGATTACCCAAGAGCACGTCTGCAGCGTCGAGGCTGAGAGACGACGGCTTCATGTCGCAAATGCACGAAATGGAAAACGTGGGGGGGAAACTTTCCGATGTCTTCCCTCTCCTCCCACCAGTTTTAAAGTAACATATTCTTCTCTGTATTTTTGCAAAAAGGAAAAAAGAGCACAGAGTAAATATTTGTTCTTCTGGCCAAAGAAGCCCAACGAATTTCAGATGCATCCTTATTTGCAGTCCAAACATTACACACAATATTCAATAGACTCACTTGATCTGAAACAATCATGTGGCTGCAACAGCTGACATTGATAAAAAACAACTGTGAGAAGGCAGAACAGCTGTACATTCCTGCAGACCTTCTGTCCTGATGCTTCACTTCGTAATCCCACACAACGCAGGAAAAACATTTCTGAGTGTAAATTCTGGACCTTTTTTTTTAGTTTTCAGATAGCTTGCTATGTAGAAGTTACTCTTAAAAGACATAGTGGGCAAATTGCCTTATTTTACATCAGCTGGTACAGGTGTTAACAAATGAGAAGTTGTTTCTACCGTCCGACATTGGAGCCCCTGAAACCTCTTTATTGAGAACATGGGCAGGAATTTAGCTCATCCATTTGCACCATTTGGAAAATCACCATCAACTCTTACTGGAATGAATGCTAACTGTACATTTAGGAAATTTATTTATTTTTTTTTTTTTTGTGGATTTTTTCCATATGGGTTCTGTGGACAGGTTATGAGTAAACATGGGCTGGTTACTCATATCAAAGTTTGTCGTGGATTTAAAATTTCAGGCTGCTACAGTTTGCCAGAGAAAGTGTCAGATGTATGAGTAATGTTCCCAGGTCTACTGCAGAGCAGCTGGCTGCAGGCTGCTACAATTCTCCCTTACCTACAAAAGGGACATATTCAGCTGTTTAGACATGGTAACAAATCAGCACCACCCATCAGTCTTATGAAGATAACTGTTTAAAAGAGAGGTAAAATCTTACCTGAATGTTTATACACTTTAATCTGTTTTATCTTCATGTAAGAATAAAGGCTAGCTTCATTCTGTCACTGTTTTTTCTTTAAAGCACATAGAAAATCCCTAGGCACATGGTAACTAGTAGCCTGGAATATGCAATTCTGCTCGATTCTCATCTACACTCTGTACTCCATCAGTTTTCTCCCACTAAGTTGGATTTGTCCAGTAGAATTTATCAGGCCAATCAACACACAGAAGGAGAAGTTGTGAAGGATAAAGTTGATTTTCTGCGCTATAGTCTGCCTGTAGTTTTAGCAACGGCAGCGGAGAAATTGAGAGAGGCTTTTCGGTCCATTTATTATCATTAACAGCTGCCTTGTTCACCTAACTTCTCTCACTGCAGTGGAGGATGGTTGTTTACGGTCCAGGCCATTTGCATCTAACCGGCGTTTTGATTACGTCATGGACAAATGTTGGCAATTGGGTAACATTTAAAACTCTAATAAGAGTCCACGTCTCCAGAAAGCAAATATTTCTCAATATCCAAGAGCCAAGATATCTTTACGAAGCAAAGCATAGAATAAGAGGCGGGTTTTTTCTGCTAATTCTTCAGTTTAAGTCTGTTTGTAAACCAAGTCTCTTCATTTTTCTGATGCACTCTTATTTTTCTCTACATTGTTTTATCCTTAGTTTCAGCTTTTCCGATACCATTTAATTTGATCGTTATTTCATCACAGAGATCATCCAAACCCATCTGAACTTAAACCATCATTCTAATCACCAGTTTACTTCCCCACATACTTTCAAGTATTATGACATTTTTCCCTACATTCCCTGTTCAGTTGGGAGATTTACCTTTTTCTCTGGCTCTTCATTTTAATACCTTAACGATCACCTCAAACAGATTCCTACAAGATATTTTAGGTAAATTCCAGCACTGCGAGTGATAATTATACGGCTTGCAGTTTAAATGTTTTGGGGCAAACCTCTTGGGGTTAAGATAACCCCCCTGTACAATTACAGTAAGTGGATCTTTTAGTCTACACTGATGCCAAATTATAATGTTGACTCGAAGGTTGCTGGATCGTTCCCACCAGTGAAGCTCATTAAAATTTTTATTTTGTTCCATAGCAGGTTTTATACATCACAAACAAAAATATATATTTCTTTCTTCCTTACAGATATATCCTGTTTTTGTCATTTTTGTTGCACTTAAATGTTTCAGATCAAACTAATCTTAAGATCAAGAAATTATAACGAGAGTGAACACACAAGGCTGTTAAAAAAAAATCATTTTATTAAGAAAAAAAAACCTATTTGAACAAATTAATAAATCATAAAGTAATAGTCACTAATCATCTTTTGGTCTGATTTTTCTAGTCACTGACAATTGTGATTAGTCAAGGAATAGCGCCTCACTGACAACATGAAGTAAGCTAAAATAGCCTCGTCAAAACCCCATCATCTACAAAAATTTAAGTAAAGATGAGAAATAAATCAACGGACACCCATTAGTCTGGAAAAGGGGTTACAAAGCTATTTCTAAGACACTAGGGGCTTTAAAAATCAATTTTTGATGAATGGAGAAAACATGAAACGGTTGTAAAACTTCCAAAGAGTGTCAACCTCCAAAAATTACTCCGGGAATAAAACTCTGACTCATCCAGAATTCACAAAAGAACCCCCAAAAAAAACAACAAATAAGGTATGCAGGCCATCTCTTGTTAATGTCGGTGTTTATGACTAAACAATGTGAAGTAGACTGGGCCAAAAAGTGATTTTCCTAAGAATCGAAACATGACGAAACATCCTGCGTGTTTTCTCTCAGCAGCAGGAGAAACGATAACGGACGTTTCACATTGTCCTTAACTTCTGTAGTGTTGTAGTTTCTCCTCATCCATTTTGGGTGACATCTGTAATTCTCTGACTTTCCTCTCCAGCTTCTGGCCAACTACTTAATTGCCTCCATGTACTTAGGTTTTAAATCCTTTCCCACAAAACCCCAAAGAGCACAGCGCAGTGGTTAAGCGCCCAGGTGTAAGAGAATACCTCTCTTTGTGTTAACTTTACACACATTAGGCCAGTCGGGTGTCATTTTAAGATTAGCCTGTGCCGTCTTCCCACTCCTATTCCCATGCTCGATCGGCTTTGTTCGGCTTCCCTAGCAGCAGAAACACTTGACGACGATTTGCGGTGAAATGTTGAAATGTATCCAAAACCTCCTGAGTAGATTATGAAGTGAAGGCGTCGGCGTACATAGAACGTTTTTTTTTTTTTTTTTTTTTAATCAGATCTGAGAGTCAATTCGAGATGTACTCACTGAGGGGCTTCAGGATGCTCGTGCAGGAGTCGTCGACGTTCTCCGCGTCGGACTTGTACGCTCCCACAATCTGCTCGACACGTTCCCGCTTCTCCTTGTGGTTGGACTTGCGTCTGTGGCGTCTCCTGCGGTGGTAGCTCTTGGGAACGTGCACACCGATGTACACGGTGTGGTGGCCTGTGACGGCACAACGGAAACACACCAGGAGCACAGATCAAGATCTGATATATTCATAGATGAGGAGGCATTATTTTAATAACAAAAGGAAAAAACAAAACAATGGAGACCCAAGTAATCTGGTTTTGTATAGGATATATCCTCGTCTTAGGGATAGATTTAAAGGTATAGTTCAGAATTTTTAAAGTGTGGTTCTGTCGAAAGTGTTGCTGCATCTCAAAAGGCTTTACATAACAATGGCTGAAAATCTGATTGTCCAAATACAGGAAAGTAAAATAGGCAATGAAATTAAACAAGGCAATGCAAACACCTTCACTGATCAAAATTAGAATGAAAATATTTTAACTGTTAAATAAAAATAACTACTAATGGGGTAAGAAGGAATGCCGTAAATCTTACGTTAATAATGTTAACTTTGTTAATGCAAGTTGGCAGAGGCGTAATTAACAAAAGATGCTTTTTTTTAATCCTTCTGCAGCTGTTTTAACGAATCTTCAGTAAACTTGTAGCACATGTCATGACTTGATTGATTTTTTCAAATCGATCTCAAAAGTAACAGGAAGTCCATGTAAGGCAGGTTAAATGTTCTCGCCTCTTTTCTCCGGTTAGCAGCAAATCATAAGTGAAATTTTTAATGAGTTTAAGTCTCCAAATTAATTATTTTCATGTCAGTAAACCAACATGATATTTATGGATGTTTCAACATCTTTTAGAGTCATAAATATTTCTATTTTTGCAAATAGTCTGAGGTGAAGGAATAATAATGCTGACTGCTCCCTCAGTGACTTCATTTAGCATAAATCCAAATGAGTTGGTCCTGGAGGCTAAAGCTAACCGCTGGTCCAGAAGAGCAAAGGTCAAAGCTGACTTTTACCATCTTAAAATAACTCCAATTTAAAAACATCACAGCTCTTAATGTGGGAACTATTTGATGACTCTTTAAATGATCAACATATGTGAATTGGATGGTTATTTACAGAGTAGCTAATGATTATTTACATGCGAAATGGAGAAAACAAGCAGTGCGCCAACAGTGATCTTCCTGTGTGAAACACTTACTCCGATCAGAAAATGTAAAGTGTTTCAAGTCAAAGTAGCTTATAAAAATAAAGTGATGTAAAAAAAAAAACATTACAGATATTTCATCTGAGTATTAAATTTTACATACTCTCCTTTTTCTATGAGGAAGTTATTCTCACTGGAAACCATTTGCATTTCATTTGTTAGAATCCGTTTCACTCAGGAAGGTAATCGCAGGCACACTGTCTCCAATCTGCGTTTCCTGAGTGCATAATGGTGACAGTTTAAAAATGTATAAAAAAAACTAACATTTGGTCAGCTTGCCTGAGTGGTCTGGATATACACTAAATAAAAACACCAGGAAGGTTATATACCGAAAGGAAGACTTTAGCTGGTAATCTTCTAACAGAACCATATTTGAAAAACTATGAAGTACCCCTTTAATCCACAAGCCAATAATATCAGCAGGGAGTTCAAGTTTGCCATCAGTCATAAGAGCAACTACTCCCTACATTAGAGGCTCGTACAGGAAATGATCGTTTATCCCGTCCAGGAAGTAATTAGAGGGAAGAAGAGAGTTAAACTCTTACAAATACTGGGATCAGCTGACTAAGTCAGAGTGAAACAATCATGTTTCTATTGTTTTTTTGGGGTTTTTTGTCCTATTCAATCTCTGCATTCCTGAAGCATGTCTCGCAGATTTTAATTACATCTTCTGCATTATGGCAGAAACCGACGCGCACCTGAGATGAGATTAAAAAAAACCCAACCCTGGACTCCCATTGCGGAGAGGCTAAAAGCAGACAAACAGAGGGACAAAGCGCCAAGAACGTCGACGTGCCTCTCGCTTTGTGTGAGCCTTTAAGTGGCGGTTGGGTAAACATGTTGGATGTCTCAGCAAATACATGTGGGTGACTCTGGATTCTTCTGTGGCTTCAGCAGACGGACAATGGGAGGATTGGAACGGCCGTCGTGTGCAAAATGTCATCTTAGAAGGATTAGATCCGTCATTGATGCAAGTTTCTGGGTCGATACTTGTGGGAAGATGACACGTTTTTCTCAGTGCGAACACTAGAGGCCATGACAAGCGAGGCTTTAAGGTCTGAACCAGCGGGACAATGGGTCAGAAAGCAGCACTCCGCCTACCTTCCACTTCCTCTTCATCACAGATATGCTTGACAAAAGATGCTCCTCTGTCCAGCACTGCTTCATCTTCCATTCTGCTGGACAAAAAAAAAGGAAAACATTGGTGATTAAATGCCAAAGATTGGACATTTTTTTAGAAATGGGTTTCTTCACTGTAAATCAGCCATTATTTCCAAAGGTTTATTCAACTAAATCAAATTTCAAAAAGCATTCGTTGAGCAGTTTTTCTAACTTTCTCCACTTTTAAGTCATGTTGCAGTCATGAACGATACTCATTTAATTGGGATTTGATCTGCCAAACCAGTTGCAGATAATTAATCCCCTTTTATTTAACAAAGAAAAATCTAGAAAGTTTAGCCAAGTGTGCATGACTCGGTACTTTTCAGAACCATCAGCAGGTTGATTGGGGTGTGTCTCTGTACCAGCTATGTTGTTCTAGCAAGTCCTGTTTTAGCCATGTCTTTCTTGGAAATCACTGTGGCTTATAGGCATAATAGCTGGATGGCATCTCTGAATTCCCCTGCGGTGGATTCTCAACTGGATTTAGGCCTGGACTTTGACTGGGCCATCCTGACAGATGAAACCGCTTTGATCTAAATTGTTACATCGTAGCTCTGGTCCTCTGTGCCGGATCATGTTCTTCCTCATGTTCGCTGTGTCTCCGAAAGGTTTGTTGTGGGAATACATTTACGTATGGTTTCCCTCCTCTGATGTGTAGTTACACTCTGCACTCTAGTAGTAGGGCTGCATGCTTCAACATGCGCTCGAGATCAGATTTTAACTGGAAACCTTTCTCCTAACACCTTTGTGTCTGCAGCCACAAGGTCTGAAAATAAGTCAAGAATTAATCAAACCTCATTTATCAATTAATTTGAATTTTTCTGGGATTTAAATGAAATAATTGATGAGGAGTGCGATCTTCTTCTAGTTTCTGGTGAAATTATCAACCACTGATGTAAAGGGATTGCACAGCTAGTTAGTTAGTAACATTGGATTAACTTCCACAACTAATTATATATTCAAAACTAGAGTCTGACTTTTTCCCTCCAATATTATTGAACATACCTAACCGATACAGCCTCATTAACCTACTCTGTAGCTTGAAGCATGAATTTATTTTACAAACAATTGTTTTTTTCCATGTATCACAAGTGCAGCTGACACACTTGAACGTGCCAGCACACGCGTCAGTACCAGACTCCGAGTAAGAACTGAAAGTCATTGTGAGTCTTTTTTTTTTTCTTTTTTTTTTCTCAATCACAGTTATAAGCCGCATCTTGGGCATAAAACAAGGATGCAGGTCCAGACAGCATCTTAGGTGACTTTTCTTCTCTGCTCTAGACTTCGTTCCTTTTTATCAAGCTGCTGCTTAAAGATGTTCCTGTGAGCTTGGAATAAAATTTGGTTCCCCCCGCCCTCTCTCTCTCCTGGTCCAGTAAAAGTACACACATCCAGGCTATAAAAAGCTGCTTTAGGCCACATGACGTAAAATAGTCAAGCAACCTTTTCTATAAACAGAAAATCGGTCTGCCACAAGCATTTCGTACTTTGCGCCACAGACTAAAGTTTTCATCACCTGCACCTTGGCTTGTTCGATTAAAACCGTCTTAAGTGTGAAGAGAATCAAAATGAGAGAATCACGTTAAAACTGATCTAGATTGAGAAGATATCAACCCATCTGAAATTTGCCAGAAGGGGAGGCTGGAGGGGGTTTTTGTCAGCTTGCAAATTAATCAGAGTGGGGCAGCGCTGGCCACTGTAAACAAAGCCAGGAAGAATACAGCGTGTTCCTTCAGTTACTTTACACACTTGTTTGAGTTTCCCATGAGGATAACGATATCTGGACGTGAGATGACAGAGGTACTACGCCGATAGCAAGACATCAAACAAGTCACGAGAAGTGTGCGTTCAGTAATATCTCTGCCCTCCTTTTGTCGCTGATTAAACAGCAGTTGTGCTACGACGCTACGTTACGTGGAAAGACTCGGCGTTATCTTCTAGCCGCCCGTTTCTCCTGCCTGCGCTGTATATTCCACCCCTCCAGGACAGACTGTACTGAAAGTACCACTCATTTCAAGGACTTGATTATGTCACTCTGTTTTCTTTTTGTGCAGATCTTGTTCCTGGGCAGCCTCACTGACACAGTTTGAATGAGTATTATCAGCACACTTTTTATGTTTGGCATCTTTTTGTGTTATGCTACGGTGGTTTGTTGTATTCACTGAAGATTTTTTTTGTTGATTTGGCCATGTTTATACACACTGCGATGAGCCAGGTTAGGTCTAAGATTGTTCTATAGTCTTGTGTTGCCAAGAGTTTGTAAGGCCTTCTTCTTTGACTTTTCACTTTCAGAACATATTGTGTGTGTGAAAGCTTTGTGTACTTCCTCATATTTCTTTCTTAAAACCAAATGTGTTCCCCAGACATCAGTTCTTGGCCCACTCTTAAACATTTTGCATATCAACGGTCTGCGTTGAAAAGTAATGAACAGTGACTTTCATTGTTATGCCAATGACACTCTACTGCATTCACACCAATGACACTCTACTGCTGTTCTAACCACAACAATCTTCCTTTATGGTTCAGTGCACTTGGTGCTACTTTATTTTAATGCCAAAAACGTGTTTTTGTAATTTCGAATTAAAATCTTCAAATCTTGGTCGTATCCTTCCTATGCAATTCCGCATGATTCTCATCTCCTATCAGTGCTCCATCTAGGATTTCTCCCATTGAGCTTGATTTGTCTGAGTGGAGGATGTGAACGAAGACATTCGGTCTGTGTCGGCCACATTTCTATATGTTGAGCAATTAAAGTCGCAGTATGCGTAAGACATTTTATTGCATATATCTGGATGTGAGATGACAGAGGTACAACGCAAAGATGTCGTGGCCCTTTTGCCCATAGGGTTGTTTACAGCACACACATTTTCCAGTAAGCTTCATCGAGCTGATTCAATTTACATACATCACTGCCTAGCCACTGGTTAAACTCAGATCCAATCATTTAAAAGTTAAACGCCAAGCCTCCAACAAGCAATCGTCTCTCAATACCCAAAGATCTAGACTCTCTGTATGACGTAAAGCTTAGAACAAGGTGCTTTAGTTCTTCATTAAGTTCTTTAACAAAGACCTTATCACCATTTGAAGAGAAGCAGACGCACAGCGCTTCAGTCCTTCATTAAGTTCTTTAACAAAGCCCTTATCACCATTTGAAGAGAAGCAGGCCCACAGCATGACACAAGTCCCACAATAGGGGAGTTTTCCCACCAAAACCACCTTGAGGGTTTATTACCAAACAGCTCAATTTTAGGTCGATCTTACCAAACCACACAGTTTCACTTGAAGTCTCAGTGGAGTTAGCTAAACTTTTGGACAAAAAAGTTTCCAATCTGCTGATGCCTAAAGTTTGTTATTAAGACATCTGTTACTCCCTGGTACCGAGATATAAGTGACACATCTTCCAACTAAGTAACTGGGGGCTAAAGGAAATTGACTTCATATTTATACCAAAAGGAATGAGGAAGTCATGAATTACTAATAAGCATATAGCACTAGATGGTTTTTCCCCCAGAATGAATAATAAACTGAACTCAAATGGTTGTATTTTTCCACAGTTTCAGTGTGAGGGTTATGCTACCAATACAACATTACAACTAATTGTAAGACTTCTTACTCATCTGAACGAGGAGTGGCAACAAGTATGTTTACGTCTGTTCAGACACTTCTGAAACTCACAGGGTGCAGCTGCTTTCATTCACTGCAGCACAATCACACCACACGTGTGGGAAATGAGGTTAAGGGGGCGTTCCAAGAACACGGCTCAGCAGTTTTTTTTTTCCTTTTCTCCACCTTTGCAGCAGGTATAGAAATGCAGCTAGGTGCATGGAGACAGGCCACGTAGTGCAACGAAAAAAGTCCTCAGAAAACCACTGAATGCACGGGGAGAGCAAAACTAAGTTCATGTTTCAGGTTTCCTGCTGGCCGTGGAGCAGCATTAATCACTTCACACGGTGGCCTGGGACAGGGAGGGCTTAATAAAGGGAAAACTACCAGAGGTGGTGCAGGGACACCCAGGATGCAGCAGAGGAAGCGAGTGCGCGGCCGGTGTGTGAAGCAGGCTTGAGCGACACAAAGAAACCTGAATTATGCTCTTTTAGCAATGCTCAGCAAAGTCAACATGAGGCCAAGGCATGGGAACACATGGAAGATAAGATCCCGCCGTATCTCCTTCGTCACATCATTGTTATGGGAGCATATCTGGATCTCCGCTTTCACTTCCTGTCGTGGCTACTTTATGCGCAGTGGTCAGCTTTCTGCTTTGCTTCGTGTTGCCCTCGTGAGGCTGGATAAACCCGCCAGAGCATGAGGAGGCAGGATCAGGATCAGGGATCATCTACATCTCTTTACAGAGTGACGTACCCAGTCCCAGCAGTCAGCTAGATTTACCATGAGGGCAGCAAGTGCAACAAGATGTACAATGGCGAATTAGGAGCCCTGCGCTGGTAACGTCTTCACTTTTCTAAAGGGGCTAAATTGTCTGGAGGAGCTCATTTCAAAGAGCCCATTATTAATCGGTGTTAACAGTTTTTTTTATATATATATATATGTAAAGTTAAATAAAACATTTCAATTTGCTGTAAAATTCCTTACTCAGCTTCTCCAAGCAATCTCAAATTGACATCTATTCAACAGCACCTGCAGTCATATGATGCCAGGTGAGTTTGTTATGCCTCAACAGCGTTAACGTTAGCGTTAGCAAAGAATAACTAGCCGATTTTCTTTTATGCCAAGTGGTACATTTTCACACACTTCAAAAAAACAATCTCTGTAGATAATGCTTAGCGTGTTTAGAGCATATATTACGCACAAATGAACTTTCAAAAGGTTGGGGAAAAATGTAGCTACCTATAAAATAGCAAAGGGAAATCCCATCTGACACTTGTCACAATAAAAAAAAAGTAAAAATAGAAAGAGTTACTTGAATAATTACAACCATAGTTAACAAACTGTGGTACAAATAACCCTGGTGAATCCTTTAGTAGAGTCACAGAGATAAGAGGGGAGCTAATAAGTCCAAATAGCTAAAACCAAACCCCACAGTGGACACTGAAGCAGACACCAGTGAACCAGGAAGTACCACTGACCGCATTGAATTTACTTCTGAAATGGCAAGACGGATTAAAACCCAACTTAAAGATATTTCTAGCTGCAAGTTGGAAAACTAAAAGGATCTGCCAGATCTCTGCACTCCCTGAACAGGCTAACGGCTACAAGCAACACAAACTGATATCAAGTAATTTAGTCATCATCCTGTGTGGATCTTATACCTGTGAACCACTTTGCCATACTAGTTCAAAAATTGATATATCACAGCAAAAAAAAAAAAAAAAAAAAAGAACAAACAACAGTTGGTGTAAGATTTGATTATTTCAGGGAAAACTTAATCAACAAAGCCCATTTTACTGTGCTTTCTAATGTCTACTTTCTTGTCAGGAAAAATGGATGCAACAAAATAGCAGAGACTTAAGTTCTAACACAATTCCTGACAAAAAAGTGATTTAATGCGCGACCTGTTGGACAGGTATGTCTTGGGTTTTGCAATTTCCCACAAAGAAGGTCTGACTGGTTAAGGAATTAAGAGGATGTGCAATTTCGAGGAACATAACTGTTAAGTTTCCGCCTAACAATAAGAAGCTTCTTTGTTTCCTTGGCATGCAAGAAAGCAAATGATAGAAAAAGGAAGACAAAAACATTTCCTTACTATAAACCACGTGTCACCCAATGGAGACAAAGGAGAGAGAGAAATCAGGCCCTGTGTGTATACGCCCCCACACAGATACGTCACTCTTCACTCTGTATTTACTTTGAAGAGGACTCAACCCAACCCTGCAAATATTACAAGGAAATGCAATAGCTAAGATTAGATGGCACAGCTGATGCAATTCAGGTGCTTGAGAAATAAGTTCAAAACAGACGGAGGGGATTTCTGCTCGATGGTAATAATAAAGTCTGATTTGCTACAGAGTTGTGCCAGGAATTGCGCAACAATGACTTGCACAAATTTTACAGCAGCAAGTCTGACTTTTCAACAAAACCAACCCAACTCACTCTGGACATAGTTTCTAACGTACAGAAGATGATGATCCGCTTTTCTGTTTAGCTGTTGTTTAGCTGTTTTATTTTTGTGAATCATCATTAAATAGTTAGTCCAACAAGGCTGAATTGCTTGGAACTTAAATGTTTCTTCACCATTTATTTTGGAAACCTGCAAAAATTTTTCTCATCTGTCATTCTTTACTCTCACCACCTTGTGAAGTTATAAATCCAAACATAGGAAAGCAGATTTAGCAGTTTTTACTTCAATGTGCTTTTTCAAGGGAAATCTATACTTCATTACTATTCTGTAATAAGAGCGTTTTTTTTGTTTTTTTTTATCCTTCCCTTTGAGTCGTTACAATTCCTGATACTCCCTTGGTTAAATGGTGATCCCTCTGAATTACCTACCTAAACCCCATCGAAACTCTTTATCCTCCATAAAGTGCTTGAAAAAAAAACCAAAACAACAACTGTGAATCACCAATAAAGGAACGACTCATCTCTCCATAAGTCTGGTGGATGCTTCCACCAAACTTTTAAATGAAGCTTTGGATTCAAAAGACTATTGTACAGACTTCTTTCTGAAAAACGAAGAGCATGGAAAATACAATTTTTAAATGAAATCCTATGCCAGTAGCTTTCAGACATTTTCTTTTTAGATTGTGCATTTGTCTGGATTTTAATCTATCAGGGTTTTGTATCACTCAGTGCTTTTCTTCTTTAGCTTTATAAATGTCAGAAAAGTCAAACCATTTTTGAAACTTTATAGTAATTGTGTGGGTTGGGTTAGTGATGCATTACTCTATTTCTATGCTGATGACCCAGTTATGCAAATATACTTGGCCTACTCATTCCACAATACATTATTCTGCTATGATTTGTTCAACTCAATCTGAAAAACCAAGGATATGTTCTTTAAAAAAAAAGTACATATAGACATATGCCTATATGTATGCCTGTGTTGATAGGCACACAAACAGCTTGATTGGTTTTTGTCATTTTTTCTCCACAGAAGGTACAAATATAAGGTATTTTTCTAAATATCTTGGCATTTCAATTGATGACAACCTGGCTGTCATTTGGAACTCACTTAGGGCTTTTTAGTTGCTGCTTATTGTGCTTTCATTTAACATATTTTTAAAAAACACACACTACATTATCATCCAGCCAACTTCTTGTCTTACATTGACATAAAGCCAATTGACACTATTCTTTATCAAAGAGCACCGAGATTCATCACAGAATGTAAACCTTTTACCCACAATTGCACTTTTATGCATCCACTTCCTACAGACACATTCAGTAGTCTTTATGTTATTTCTGAACTTGAGGGAACCGCATGTGAAACTTGAAACAAGCTCCAACAAAACAAGTCTTACCCAGGTGAGAGATGTACAATACATTTAAAGGATATAGTCGAAGGACCGCGGGACGGTTATCAGGTTTTAATGTTTTATTTCTGGCGTCTCCTGCCTTCACAGTTAGCCATTTCCATTCTTTAGCTTTCCAATTCTGCTTAAGGATAACACTGTTTTCTTGGTTTTGTTTAGAATGGACCTCTATTGAAAATGAGTGGCTTAAAAGGAAAAGAAAACAAAACAAATACACCGCGGGTTTGTGGTTTTCATATCTAATATCACCGCGCCTGCGCTGTGAGGCACACGCACAGCTTTATTCATAAAGATGGACAGCAGATGATCCATCCACCGCTGGGCCTGCTCTGTCTTTCTCTTCCTAATTGATAGTGACAGGTTCTTGGAAAATAGATTACCGTCCGTTCATAGGCACAGCGGTGCAGGAACAGTGGCTTATCTACGACCAAACGGAGCCTTTTTCAGTGACTGGTATTTTTCCGATCACGATTGGTTTTTAATGATCCACTAGTTTGTTTTTGTTTGTTTTTTTAACCTAGTCACAGAAATACTACTCAGAACCGAAATTCACCTGTAATACAGAGTATAAAGCAGATCTCTCCTCCACAACTGTCCTAAATCCAAACTCCAATTTACAGATGAAATGGGGACGAATAAACTTTATAGTCGAAGTTGTACTTTATCCGAAAAACACAGGAGTAAAGTTAACTTACTTGCTCTTTTCGGAACTCATGGCGACAAATTTCTTCCTCAAAGATAATCAAGCCTTGTACTCGGCAGATGTCTCTCTCTTCTTTTATGTTGCTCAAGTTGCGTCTTTTGGAAGCTTTCACCTTCTCTCTCTCTCTCTCTAAAAAAAAAAAAAAGTAACAAAGGAGGCGATGAGTTGCGTGCTATCTGGCGGGGATGATCTCTTTGACTCGGCAAACCAAACTCAGCACATGAGGACGCACAAGCCTCCTCATCTAGCTGGACTCGTTGGGCTCGTGCCGGGCCAACATCTTAAAGAAAAGCGGAGCGTCGGAGGCGCGTGGAGAGTCTCCGTGAGCTGCGTGTCTGTTTTCCATATTTAACGTCCCATCCCTCCTCCTGCGTGACGCCAGCGTTTGGAGGGGGGGGCGGAGGTCACAAAAAGTTACTCATGGGTGGCGCTCCAGATGCCTCCACTTGACAAACTGCTCCTCTATTGTTTACCAAATTAACTTGCCCTAGAATCTGAAAGCACGTTTTTTAAAAAAAATCCTTCGGCACAATAAATTTAGACGAATAAGGGAGTGAGACATCACTTTTAGATATGTAAACTGTTTATTTAAAACACGTTTTAAATTCAATACAATTTCATCAATTAAAAACTTTGGTTTCACCTCAAGTAAAAACATAAAAATAAAAATAGCCCACTCAATTAAAGAGAACCAAAGCTATTAATTCAGGTGGTTTTGTTCAGTCCTACTGGCAGCACCAAGTAAAGGCAGACAGATGTCTAAAATAGCCTACAGGTTATAATGGGGACTGGTGACACCTTCTGGAGGAACTACAAGTGCATCTCGGTAAGTTCAAATATAATCACATTTGTATTTATGCAATCAAATTTTTTACATTTACTGTGGCTTTCTGCCCAGGCTGACAGAGTCTGAGGGCGCACAGAGATGCAAATAAAAGAGGTAGAGTGATGATGCTGAAGTTATGAGTCCATTTCAGTTACTTTTTTGTCCGAGCTGCATGATCATCCCTTCAAAGCTATTTTTAAAGATAGCTTTGATTTTATGAGTATTCTTTAAAAATAATAAAAACAATTTTTTTTATTTGTGAAATGAACACAGATGCTGAATATTAAAGGAACCTGTGCAGATAAGCACACATACACACACTTTAGTATTTCAAGCATTATCCTTTACTAAATGTTGGAAAGCTGTGCACTCATTTCCATTTATAACTACACAAGTAAAAAAAACAACAACAAAAAACAGCAAAATTATATTAAAAAAGTGCACATTTTCAGATATTGAAAACAACAAATGAATGAGAGAAGTGATGGTTGTTGGGGTAATTCATTGTTATTCCAGGATGTTATTCCCTTTTTCCCGTCACAATGTGCTCAAGAACTCCTTCACCTAAAAAAAAAAAGAAAAGAAAAGAAAAAAATCATAAAGGACATCAAGGGTCATCAAAAAAATACAGAGTCAATGTTCATTTCTGATACTGTTGATGGAAAGCACCGGCATCCAGCTTTCGGCTCAATAAGCAGTTTTTGATTTGAGGTTAAACCGCAATGCGTTCTTGTTTACAATCAACAGAAAACTGCCCAATAAGCATCTTTATTAGCTGTGTGAAACCCAGTTGAGAGTTTCCTTCTCAACATCAGAGCTCACAGACACTGCATAGCAGATTGCACAATAGCATTCTGCCTTCAACAGCTTGTTAAAAGTCTGTGCTACAAAAGGGAACTAATGTTTTTATAAAAGTAGTAACTACTACTATTGTCCTCAAAAGTGCAGAATTACCAGAATGCATCTGGAGGTGCACTAGTCAGGATTTTCCTGGCACAGACTGACTTCCTGCTTTTTTACACCTCAGCCCTTTAATGGTATTGGCTCCATCAGTTCCTCTTCTGACAGTCTCGTGATTTTATTTTTCTATATTTTGTTCCCTTTTGTATGAAGACTTCCTGCATTGCTTAAGAACCTTCACTCACCTTCTCAATCATGTCGGCACTCTTTGAATTGTTTTGCTTAAAATCGTCGTTCACGTCCAAGGTCAGAACGGGAACGTCACTGAGATACTCAAACTCCATGCTGTGGGCACACGCCATGTAGTTAGTGATGTTTAACAAGTTACATCCCTGCATTCAAAGCCATTTTAAATAGTAGAAACTCATGCTTTTCCATGTCTGAATGTACTCAGTTTTTGAGTTTCTAAATAACATTCGAGTCCAAGATATGTTTTTAAGCTGTTTAAATCAAACTCAGCTTAAGAACAACCAAATTTAAACTTTCCTAAAACAACATACACCTGCATCCACAAATATAATTACATAAATAAAAAAAAATGTGGCAAATCAAAGAACGCATTGTTTCTCCTCTTCAGAAAAACAATAAATTAGACTCATAAGACAGAGGAAGGAAATTCATACCTTTCCAAACTCTAAGAACTTTGTCCATTAGTCTTATCTTTGAGCATTACATCTACTCTAACTGCAGTATTGTTAGAACAACGACTTGTCAGAGTTTAACTTTAACACTTTAACTGTTTAAACAAAGCAATGACTCTGCAGTGAAAATGTAAACATTCTAATATGCATTTAAACATGCTTATTAAAAAAAGTCCATCATTGTCTGTAGTTTTTGTTGGTCAATTAAAAACATCCACATTTTACAGTTCTTTTCATTGAAGTAGAATATACAAAAAAAAACACAATGCCATTTCATAGATCACCAGTTTACTATTAAATTATAAGTGCTCCCATCTGTAATGTGTATATAGCTACTGACTACATTATTTGAATAACTTTTTGTTAAACCATCTTAGATTTTTACTTCAGAAAATGGAAATTAGCCTTTTCTTTTCTTTTTCAAAACTAAGGAGAATAAGAAACGATGGAAGGAAAATACATTAGCATCACCATCGGTCAATTTTAATCATTTTTTTAAAATCAGTCTGATAAGTAAATCCAGGTTAATATTAAAAGTTTATATTTCCATCTTTGTACAGTTTTTTGTTTCAGAGGGTTTGTGGGGCAGTTATGGGGTGTTTAACAGAAGCAACATAATCGCTTTTATATTGGGAAAAACAATACGAGTAAATATTGGTTATCGGCCATAGCAGCAGTATTCATATTGGCCCAAATTTTCATATCTGTGCGTGCACAAAATAAAAAAACAAATTCCCTCCATTCGGACTGTTGTGTTGCCCTCTTGACTTGACATCTCTTTACAGAGTGAACATTTTTCTAGTAGCCTTTTCCATTTTGTTCCATGTCAGAAACATGGCTATGGAGTTGTTAAAAACTTTAAATTCTAGCTCAACCTTTAAATAGTATGCCAACAATTAGGATGTGATGTTAGCATCCGTTTTCCCATTAATGACCAGTTCAGGTGCATGCATGTGCATGTGACTCACTTCATGGTCTTATTCTGCAGCCAGCTCTCATGCTTGTAGTGGAGCTTCTCCAGGTATTCCAGAGGGATTTCCTGTTCCTCCTCTCTTCCCCTCATGTGTAATCGCTCCAAGCATTTCTGTGATGCAAACAGCAGAAAATGAACTTATTTGTGTAGATCTGGTGTTCTCCATTACAAAAATATCCATTTTGACATAAAGAAGAGCAATCGGTGAGTGGAAGAGTACCTCTGGTGAAGCTCTGAGGTAGATGATACCATCTAGCTCAATGTGCTTGCCAAACTGGTTGTGAAGCCAGCCATGCAAGTCCTGGTAGATGGACCATTCAGTCTCATTCATGCATTCACTTTCATATAGGTTGCCTGCAAAGATGTACCTGAGGCAAAAGGTGCGCAGGAGACAGGAATGCCTACATTACTGAGACGTAAAACATGCCTCTCAGTTAAAACCATACCATAAAGTAAAGTTAACTGTTAAGAGCTAAAGCAGAAGCAAATGTTGCAGACTTAGCAATGACGAGATTGATTACAAGAAAACTCTGTTTTTTTGTTGTTGTTTTTTTCTTTCTTGAGATGTGTGCGCCCTGATACCTGTCACTGTAGATGGATCTCTCGTAGAACAACACAGGATTCTCAGCCTCTCGGAGCTTCCCGTTTGCAGATTTGATCTGGGCTCGCACTCGGCTGATGCAGGCGTAGCTCTGGAAGGTGTAAGCCCACCTCTCGGGCTTCTCGTACATCATCTTCAACACGTTGCCGCCGCTCCTCTGAGACGTGGTCAGCTCCTAACGAAAACGAGGTCAAGACCGTGTGAGAGGCTTTTCCCTCCATCGGCTCAAAACGCAGCAAATCCACCTCAAGCTTTGTGAAGAAAGTACTTACCATAAACATTTATCACTGTGAAATATTAAATGTACCCCGACGTAACTATGGCTACTGAGGAAGGGAGCAAAAATGAAAGAATGTTTCAATATCAATATCCGCTCTTCCGGTTCAGGTTATTGCCTCTACATTTAGACAATCTAATCTCAATCCCCTGAGTTTAAAGAGTCGTCATAGTTACTGTTACCATTTAGTAATTTGAAGGGGGAAAAAAAAAACACATTTTTCTATGATAAAGGATTTGGTACAAACACATTTAAAATGAAAAGTTTAAAACAGACAGTGGAAAATCTACATCAGGGGTGCCCAAAGTCGGTCCTCGAGGGCCGTTTTAGTTCTCTCCCTGGTGGTAGTAACAATCTTTTCAGCTTGTCAATGTTCTCCTGTGGTCTCTAATGAGCCATCATTTGATCCAGGTATGTTAAACCAGGGAGAGAACTAAAACGTGCAGGATGCTGGCCCTTGAGGACCGACTTTGAACACCTGTGATTTACACTCAAGGCTTTGTGAGCTTAAATTAAAACAGAGTTTAAGACAAAGAACCAGAACAAATCCTGCATCTCTATTATTTTTACTCTAACAGTTGAAGAAAACATAAGCTGCAATAAAGAACATCTCTTAGTCGTTCTTTTACCCAAATTACTTCTAAGTGAGAAAAAAAAAAACTGTAAAAAGAAACTCTTTAGTTGGACATGAAAACATAGATTTGTTTCAACCTGCCAGTAGAGGGCGTCTTATTATGCAAGCGGCTGTTTATTGTAGATGTGGCAGCAGGACCTTATGCAGTGGTCTGAAACATGGGATTGTTCGCTCAGTGACATCAATGTCAGAGTGCATAATGTACACAAAAGATAAACTACACAACTGTTTTTCTTTTTAAACCAACTCCAAAAACTGAACTGATTCTAACCAGCTTCTTCTTTTCAACCACACAGTTCAGTTGCCTTCTCCTTACAAATAATCACTTGCAACATCTCTAATATCATGTTTATGCCTGGCAGACTAATGTGTGTGCATGTTAAACAAAACAAGGTTTAAGCTACAGGTGTTCATGTCTGTGAC